GGGCAGGGAGGAAAGTGCTGCAGGTACCAGCTGTTGCCCTCCTAGGCAGGTGTGCTCGGGTGGGTTACAGCTGTGGGAGTAGCTGCTGTGGGGTCCAAAGGCAGGGTAAACCCTGCAGGGAGGCCAGAAGTGGGCAAGGTGGGCCTGCGTGAGGCAGTACTGGGCAACAGTTCCATGCCTGTGTGAGGGCAAGGCCTTGGGATGAGGGTTGCAGGCCTTGGCGGCTGAAGGCAGGTGCTGTGCAGCAGGAGGAGCTGCAGTGGTCTCAGTGGTAGGAAAGGTTGGATGCCCTTTAGTAGCTTTAAGGTAGGGAGACAAAGCTTGGGCTTACTGGAGAAAGCAAGGGGCTGGTGTGGAGCATTGCTGTTCCAGTGAGGTTGGGGGGACCTCCGCAGTACTGCACAATACTGTTGGCTTTGGCAGAGGTTGGGCATGCAGAGGTTCAGCTGCGTGGCTGGGCTTCCAGTAAGGGTTTCTGCTCCTCCTGGAAAGTGGGAGGCCGTATAGGTGGTGTGAAGCTCGTGCTTGCTCCTCCTAACAGTAGCTGTTTGAAGATTATTAGAAGAAATAAAACTTTTTCGCTCACAATACTATTTTTGCAATTTAAATCTACATTTAAAAGTTGGGGGGGGGGGGGGGGGGAAAGGGGTGTTTACAAATATTCTCTTGTGGTCTGTGTGTGTACAGGAGACCTTTTTCTGGTGTTCATCTCAATTCCTCTGGAAAGAGAGGAGGACCTGTGCACATTTTGGGCTTACACGTTGGTGCTTTCTCTGCCCGTTTCTTTCCTTCCTCCCTGAAACCTCTGCCATAGTGTTTCACAGAAGAGTAGATATTCATCAGAATGGCCAAGTGGTTGCAGGTAGGCTGGAAGTGAGACACTGTAGTTGCCGTTCCTGAAGGACAAGGCTGTAGTGTTAGCTCACATCCTGTAGGATGTGACAGAATGGATCTGAGAGCAAGTTTGGCAGTGAATTTGCCAACTGTGGAAAACACTGTTCTTGATGCTGTTGAACCAGAAGACAGAACCCAATGGATGTTTGGTATTTGAAATTGTGATATCCAGTGACAATTCTCTTGTTATTATGTGATTGTTCAGTGCTTGTGGAAGCAAAGTGCTTTAAGAATGTGAGTTCTAGTAGTCTGTGATTCAGAAGCAAATGAGGTGAGGAAAATAATGCCCCAACTACGAGACTCTGGTTTGGAATTTGGGAGACTTGAATTCAGCTGTGCACTAATACTCGAGACTTCCAGTGCTTGTGAGGAGATGACCTGATTTCTTGTGCTTCCATTATTAATCCACGAAAGCAAGAAAATGGCCTTATTATCAGGAATATTGTGAAGTTAAATACTTTAAAGGCTTTTTAGGACTCTGCTTACAGGGTTGGAATGGTTTAAGTACCTAAAATGTGGAGTGGAAATATAGAGTGGCAGACTTTTGGGTTGTTCTCGTAATTCTTGACTAGTTTCTTGATATTTGGAGCCCTAGTCTTTTGAACAAGGTTGCATTAATGTTTTTAACTCAGTGTTCACTAGGATGTTATCTTGTACAGTTTCTTTTTTTATCAAGCACTTACAGGGAGTGACAGTAATCTTCCTTTTGGCATGGATACGTGAATACTAACTCTCTGTTTTGACTTAACAAGAAATTGTGTGTGCCTTCCTTGTCTGAGGGCTTTGCTTCTGCTTCCTCTTGTATTCCTGCAGAGTACTTGATGCTGAAATCAAGGACAGGTGGCAGCAGCAAATTGTGAAGATCCTGTCTTAAGCAACAAAACATAGGAAACAGAAGTTTTCTGAATATCTGCAGAGCAGTTCTGAATGAATGTCAGGGCCTATTTACAGTAGAAGGTGTTTTTTTCACCTAAAAGCTCCTAAACAGGCTCCTTGCTAATTTTATAAATTAATATTTAACGATTAGGGAAAAAGTTTTGGAAGAAAAATGTTTTTCTTTTTTTCCTTTTCAAAAATATATTTTAAATACTGGTAACTGCTGTTTTTTGTCTATATGTGAATCTTTGACATACCACTGGGAAGAAGACGATTTTTTTTAAAAATGGCTTTAAGCAGACTGATTTCTTAATGTTGATAATTTAATTTTTTGTGCAGAAGGTTGATTTTAATTAAAATGCCTTTGTAGCACACACTCAAATTGCAATGATGTATAAATTCTTAGATACAAGAGTTGCATTTAAGTTTTCTCTGAAGCGAATCCTGCTTTACCAAACAGCCTTTAAGGCATTACTTGTTTGTTTGGAATAGCTTTGGTTTGGTTGGTTAGGTTTTTCTTTTCTGTTGTAGGAAGAGAGTTGTTGTGGGCAGAAACGTCTAGCTTGAGCCCATTCATTTTCTTTCATGGTGTGCAAGAGAGACTTGGAGGTCTGTCTCCTTGCTGATATATAAAAATCCACCTCTGCTTCCACAATTGCAATGAGAACAGACGCTTCCTTGTGTACTTCACATTTGCGCTGTTAGGACAGGCAAGAGTTTCATCTTCGTGTTTTACTGGAACATCTACACTCTTTTTTTTTTTTTTTTTTTTTTATTTTAAATTTAAAATAAAAGAAAAAAA